ACACGATGGTTGATGATTTTTTAAGTCAAAATAAATCATCATATTTTGACAACCAAGATGATGAATTTTATGCCGAAGATGTTGAATATAATGATGATGATTGGCAATGGGAAGAAAGGCTTCGTCTCATAAATGAATTCTCAAATTGGACTAGTGATGATGATGGGCTGGACAGGTTTATTCAACAAACTCAATTGGAAACCCCGTTAGTAATCATAAACTTTTTTTTTTTCCTCTATTTATGATATTAATCATATACTAACTAATATATCACATTTAAAAGTGATCCTCGTTATCACATGCAATGGATACCTTTTGAGAGTTTTAGTGACATAAAATTTGTTGCTAAAGGAGGTCATAGTTCCGTATTTTCGGCAACATGGTTAAATAAAACTGACCAAGTTTGGGATGGCGCTAAGCAGGCATTTATAGAAAAGCCACTTATAGTTGCATTAAAATCTCTTAAAAATTCTCAGGAACTTTCTGAAGAATTTCTAGACGAGGTTCGTTCTAAATTAAATAAATTTGTTTTGCCCCGCATAATTTATTGATTAACCTGTAGTTTTTTTTCCTGTCCGGATGTTAGTTTAAGCGTCACGGTAGTCTCAAGCTTGATGGCTGTGGTTATATCGTTCATTGTCATGGTGTTACACGTAATCCAGAAACACATGAGTATATGATGGTTATGAATTATGCTGAAGATGGTGATCTTAGACATTATGTACAAAAGAATATGACCGCTCTTCGTTGGAAAGATGTCGTTGAAATGTTATGTAGTATTGCAATGGGTCTTTTAAATGTACATAAGAACGGTACATTCCATAAAAATCTTCATTGTGGCAACGTTTTAAAGTTTTATAGTTGTAACATCGCAGATTTCGGCTTGTGTGGCCCAAGTAATGCCTCTGAACCACGGGGAGTATATGGTTCTTTGCCATTTACTGCACCTGAAGTATTAGCCGGTGGCTCATTTACTGCAAAAGCAGATATATATAGTTTTGCTTTTATAATGTGGGAATTATCTTCTGGTCGGCCTCCTTTCTCGGATAGACCACATGATCATTCATTGGCATTAGAAATTTGCCATGGTTTTCGAGAAGCCATAGTTCCTGGTACACCGTTATTTTATGAACAATTGATGGTAAAATGTTGGAATGCTGATCCATCAATGAGACCTGATGCCGAA